ATTCTACTCACCATAACAAATTCAATAAGCTGTAATTGTTCTGGTGACTATAGTGTCCCTTTAATGCTGGCCATAATAGAGAGGTGTCAGAACACAAAGTGCATCATAATTTGTTGAATATGGGACCGTGTAACAATAAACCAGTTAGAGTGCCCAAGATGACCCCTGTCTACCACCGAAAGTGCCTTCAAAGGGGATATAAGCGTTAGAACTAGACCTTGAAGCAATGCAACAAGATTGACTGGCCTCATGAAACACATTTTCTTTTATTTCAGGTGGATGGCTGGGTGCATGTTTGTCATTTACCAAAGAAGGCAGCAGGGTGCACCATCGGAAGGAGGCAGTGTTATGCTCTGGGCAATGATCTTCTGGGAATCCTTGGACCTTGGCATTCATGTGGATGTTACTTTGACTTGTACCATCTACCTAAAAATTGCTGCAGATCATGTACACCCCTTCATGGCAATGGTGTTCCCTGATGGCAGTGGCTTTCAGCAAGATAATGCCCCCTGCCACACTGCAACAATTGTTTAGGAATGGTTTGAAGAACATAACAAAGAGGTTAAGGTGTTGCCTTGGCCCTCAAATTCTCCAGATCTCAATCTGATTGAGCATCTGTAGAATGTGCTGGAGCAACAAATCTGATCTATGGAGGCCCCACCTCACAATATGCAGGACCTAAAGGATCTGCTGCTAAAGTCTTGGCGCCAGATACAACAGGACCCCTTAAGAGGTTTTGTGGAGTTCATGAGGAGTTTTAGCAACACGTGTGGAATATACACAATATTAGGCAGGTGGTTTTAATGCTGTGGCTGATCAGTTTATATATGATATGTGATAACAGATCAGGGTGTTGCAGTGGCTGTGATATATTTGGATTTTGCCAAGGTGTTCAATACAGTTACACAAAACAGATTAATTGATGGTCGCTGAAATCCCCATAAGAAAGCATTTTTCAATGCTTTCCTATGGGGAGTTCTAATGCGCGTGTGCAGCATTGCCACGCATGCTCATTGGGTCTCCCCCGCCGGCGGCCGCGCATGCTCAATAGGTCTCCCCCGCTGGATGACGACGGTGGGGGAGGAGCGTGGGCGGACCCTGACCCAACGCAGAGGTACATGGGTGCTGCATACAGGTAAGTCACTAAAGGGGTTTTAACCCCTTCAGCAACTTGGGATGGGGGGTGGGCGGAAGAGAAGACCTGCAGTGCCAGGAAAATGGTTTGTTTTCCTGGCACTGGAGAGTCCCTTTAAATAAATGTGCAATCACGCATAGATGCCTAAAATAGGTACAATTCCACCAGCTAGATTAGAGGTAGTCAATATCCAGTGCAGCACAGTCCAAAGTAAAAGTTGTCACAGGGCCCCAACTTTGGAATTTTTCTGCTACCCCCGGATTTATTTTGGGATTTGCCCCTCACCTCCACTCAACGAATTTTGGCTTAGAAAACTTCTTCATGATTTTAGTGTTTCTTGTGATCTTCAGCACTTAAATACGCGCACCCACCATACTGGAACGCATAAAAACTTTATTGGTACTTTGTGCTTAAAAAATACTGAACAGTAGAAATACAAGTCGTTCAGAAATTTTGAAACTAGCACTTTACAATACCCATTAAACATAGGAACACCTACATTCGCAAATGTAACCATGAAATTCACTAAGCATATACATAATATAAATTAAATAGTTTCCAAATACAATTATCCAAATAATTTCAATAGAAATTTACACTTTTATGATTCATACAGGTTACTTCCCCTGACTTTAAATGCAACAGGTCCTGTTACTTCCTGGTTTTATGTACTTCTTAGATTAACATGAGAATTGTGCTGATTACAGATACATTGGTATCGGTAGTAACCTAAACCAAGATAGTTCAAAGAAAGATTTAAAAAAATATCAGACTACACAGATGTCGACTACTGCCGGAAATAGGGGAATACCAAGGAAGTAAACTGTGACTCTTCTTTTACGTGCAGATGAATCTCGAGAAATGAATACAACACATGTGCAGTTATCCTTTAGTTACTTTCATATATATTAATTTCTGTTATGTTTATTACATGCAGTCAACTAACTATACGCTTTTTATTATACAATTGTAAGTAACTCAGATGTATATGAGAATGTACTTTGCAACATGTCCAGGGGAGGGCTGGCAGCATTAGGCCTGGGGGGCAACACCTGTGAAGTGGCCCATTGCACCACCAAATCTGTTCACTATCCATGCCCACCTTTTCCTGGTTTTAGAATGGATATTGATGGTTTGCTAATCACTAGCTCTTTGCCATACCCGCTCCTTCACGGCTCTGACTTTCAATGTTGTCAGAGCGCAGGCTGAGAATCTCTGAGCCTGTGCTCTGACTCACTAACTGAGCGCCAGAACCACGATGGAGAGGATATGATCTGACTGCACCTACTGCTGGTGCGCACCAGTGGACCAACAGCGAATCATTTAAATTGAATATGCTGGTGTACCCAACTTGTGAGCTGTGTTGGCTGCCGGGTGCCTCTGTTGTCATGGCACCCTGCGTGACACCCCAACGGCTGGTCCTGCTGACACACACTGATGTTACTACTTAGAAATCCCTCAATATTAATACAGACATCAGACTAAACACCAATAAACTGTGGAAACAGAGCTGATCCCCCCCAAATTTATAAAGATTTGCTTTGTGGATTTGTTGTAAGATTAAATCATGCCTCCTCCTCTCTCTCTCCCATGTGCTGGGAGGAAGTGAAGAGTAATCACATTCTCCCAGCACAGTGCCATCTGTGGCTGCATGGGGAACAGCTGTTCAATGTAATGCTTGCAGGACGGCCAGCTGCCGCAGAACCTCTTTGTTCCAGTCTCTGCAAAGGGCTCCAGGCACTGCTTGTTGTGAGCCACTGTAAATTAGAGGCAGAGGGCACTTGCACTGCGGTAAAGATGGGTCTGGGCAGGAGGAGAGTGCAGTGCAATCAGAGTGCAGTGCAATCAGTGCACTCCCCTCCTGTGGGTCACCAGTAGAATGGTGCACCTGCCCAGGATCAGAGCCGGTGCAAGCTATAGACACCAGAACCACTTCATTAAGCTATAGTGTCCCTTTAATGTGAGGTAAATTATAGATTAGTGTCACTAATAATATACTAGAATGCCTACTTACAACCAGATGAGGATGATGATAGGCTGCAGTTTGGCTCCACTGGTCTGGTGTAGAACAGGATATCTGGAGGCTGTTTGCAACTGTGGGTCACAAAATGCAATGTTCTGGGAGAATTGGAAGCAGCTCCATTTTTTGGGGGGCCCCTTACATAGCTCAAGGTCTGGGCCCCAGGGCCAGACAGTGAATATGCCCATAAGGCCCACTCATAAGTCCACTCATAGGCGTGCGCACGGGGTGTGCCGGGTGTGCCTGGGCACACCCTAATCCCCGTGGCACGCCTATGGTTTGAGTCCTGCAGGAACAGCGTTCCTGCACTTTTTTTGAGCAGGAACGCTGTTCCTGCAGGCACTCAGCGCCCCACTCACCTCTTGCCCCTGTCATGGGGGGGCAAGAGGTGATGGATTCCCCCCCTCCCCCTCCAGCTGAGCCGCGGCGAGGGAGCTCTCTGCTGTGTGCTCTCTGCTCCCTCTCGCCGCGCGCTGATGCCCCGAGCCGGAATATGACGTCATATTCCGGCTCCCAGCTACAGCGGACAGCCCGCACGGCGAGAGGGAGCAGAGAGCAGACAGCAGAGAGCTCCCTCGCCGCGGCTCAGCTGCAGAGAGGCGCCCGCCCCACTGGACCCCAGGGACAAGTCCACCAGCACTCCAGGTAGGAGGCTGGGTGGACATTGTTTTTTATTAAAATATAATAATTTGTTCTTGTGTGTGTGAGTGTGTGTGTGTGTGTCTGTGAGTGTGTGTTTGTGTGTCTGTGTGTGAGTGTGTGTCTCTGTGTGAGTGTGTGTCTGTGTGTGAGTGTGTGTCTGTGAGTGTCTGTGTGTGTGTGTGTCTGTGAGTGTGTGTGTGTCTGAGTGTGTGTGTGTGTCTGAGTGTGTGTGTGTTTGTGTGTCTGTGTGTGAGTATGTCTGTGTATGAGTGTGTGTCTGTGAGTGTGTGTCTGTGTGTTTGTGTGTGAGTGTGTGTGTCTGTGAATGTGTGTGAGTGTGTCTGTGTGTGTGTGTCTGTGAGTGTGTCTGTCTGTGAGTGTGTGTTTGTGTGTGAGTGTGTCTGTGAATGTGTGTCTGTGTGTGAGTGTCTCTGTGTGTCTGTGTGTGAGTGTGTCTGTCTGTGTGTGTGTGAGTGTGTGAATGTGTGTGTGTGTGTGTCTGTGAGTGTATGTGTGTGTGTGTCTGTGAGTGTGTGTGTGTATGCATATATATATAAATATATATATATACACACACACACACAGAGCCGGCGCTATCTGAGTGCCGGCTCTGCTCTAAGCCTCCATGGGCCGGCGGGGAGACCAAAGATCTACCTCACCGGCCCACAGCAGCATGGAGGGAGGCAGGAGAAGACCCAGGGAGCTCTAGACAGAAGCTCCGCCAGGTTCCTCTCGCGATATCTGAGCGTTGCTGCGGCAACGCTCAGATCTCGCGAGAGTTAACTCTAGCCCCACAGGCTAGAGTTCACTCTCCACTGGACCACCAGGGATGGCACATGGCAGCAAGGATTTACTAATCTGCCAAATCCCTCCAAACATACAGCACACACACATACAGCACCTACACACATACAGCTCACACACACACAGTACACTAACCGCACCCTCACAAACACACACAGCACCTTAAAAAAAAACACAACACCCTCACACACAGCACACTAACAGCACCCTCACAAACACACACACAAACAGCACCCTCACAAATACACGACACTCACACAAACAGCACCCTCACAGGACATACACACACAAACACCCTCACACACAAACAGCACAGTCACAAACACATACACACACACACAAACACCCTCACATCACACTAACAGCACCCTCACACACACATCACACTAACAGCACACACAGCAGTGTATGTGTGTGTGTGTGTATATATATATATATATATATATATATATATATACATACACACACACACACACACACACACACACACACACACACACACACATGGCGGGTGTTTGTGCTTTAGGGTGCACACCCTAATGCAATAGGCTGCGCACGCCTATGAGTCCACTTATATGTTCCACCCACCCATGAGTTCGTTCACAGGGAGTGGAATGTGTAGGGGATGTGTTATGTGTTATAGTAGAGGATCTAATATGTGTGCTTATGGTATGTAGTGTATAGTGTGTTTGTGTGTAGTGGAAGCAGTGTGTATTTGTGTATAAGGGATGTATTATGTGTTTATGGTTGTGTGTAAGGGATGCATTGTGTGAATCTGTGTTTGTATGCATAAGGGATGCAAGGTGTGTGTCTGTATGTGTGTGCATTGAGTGTAAGAGATGCATTGTATTTCTGTGTGTATGTAAGAAAAGCAGTGTGTGTGTTTGCATGTGTGTGTAAGGGTTTGCATTGTGTATTTCTGTGTATGTGTGCAAAGGATGCATTGTCTTTGTGTGTAAGGGTTGCATTGTGTGTGTGTGTACTGGATGCATTGTGTGTTTCTCTGTGTGTAAGGGAAGCATGTTGTGTTTCTGTGTGTGTAGGGATGCATTGTGTGTTTCTGTGTATGTAAAGGGATGCATTGTGTGTGTGTGGACGTGCGTAGTGTGAAAGAGCTCCCTGTCTTGCCCCATGTCCTATAGAGCTGTCCCTTCTGTCCCTTAGAGCTCTCCCCTGCCCCTTAGTGGTCTTTCCTCTCCCCACCCTCCCCTAGCGGTCTCTTCTCACACTCACCCACCCTCCCTGTACTCTTCTCATCCCCCCCATGTGTTCTCCTCACCCCCCCCTTGTTCTTCTTACCCCCCTCCTTCCTGTGTTCTTCTTACTTCCCCCTTGTTCTTCTTACTCCCCACTCTTCTTCTTACTCCCCACTCTTTTTCTTACTCCCCACTCTTTTTCTTATCCCCGCTCTTTTTCTTATATCCCCTCTTTTTCTTATCTCCCCTCCTTCTTACTCCCCCTCAATCCCCTCCCCTCTTCTTACTTCCCCTCTTTTACTCCCCTCTCCCTCTTCTTACTCCCCCTCTTCTTACTTCCCCCCTCCCCATCCTTCTTACTCCCCCCCTCCCCTTCCCTGTAGCTTGGCCGAGCTCCTCTCCGGTCCCCGGTGCCCGGCCGGAGTGATCGGAAGGTGCACACTTAGTGTGCACTTCCTATCAGTCCAGCCAGGTACAGGAAACTGAAATTCCGCGCGGAACAGGAGTTTCTGTTTTCCTGTACTCAGTGTGCACCTTCCTATCACTCCGGCCGGGCACCATGCACCGGAGAGGAGCTCGGCCACGCTACAGGGGAGGGGAGGAGAGAAGCAACTGCAGCCACCTGAGGCTCTTAACAGAGCGCTCAGGTGGCTGCAGCATTTAAAGGGCTGGCCCTGCATCGGCCAGTCTTAAAAGAATTTAGGGCGGCCTGGGGGGCAATTGCCTCCCGGCCCAGCCCGCCCCTGAACATGTCACTGTTTGGTTGGGGAGCAGGTGCTGACCGCAGCAGCAACCACTATGGGTAGGAAATAATAAGGCAATAAAATCAGAATACACACAATTTAAAGAAACACAAGTGTAATGTTATACACAATAAACACAAAAGAAGGAGAAGGGCCTCAGAAAAGCAGTTTGCTATTAAACAAAAAGGACCTCAGGAATGGATAGCATAGATGTGGTGCATGTACCCATTTTTGTTTCAGGTTTAAGTAATTCAAGGACATCTTCAGGAACAGGAGAGGTTTCATCTTCAGAGTGGACAGAAATAACCTCAGCCATCGGTAGCAACAGGGCCGTTTGAAGGAATTTGGGGGCCCCAAGCAAAATGGACATGGAGGCCCCCCACCACCCCCTACCCCCACACACACACACACGCAAAGCCTACAGGAACCACAGCATAGCCATACAGTTTAAGTTCACCCACACTTTATATAAATAAAAAAGGTTTACAGTGCAAATACTGCTGTTGCATATACTGTGCATAAATAAAAATGTTTACAGTGCAAATACTGCTGTTGCATATAATGTGGATACAATTTTAACATTTTCAACAATTGAACATTTGCAAAAAACACCACTGTACCATAAAATCAAATATACATTAAAAAAGTGCACACTAAATCCAACATGCTTAAAACACACACACATGCTTTTTCAGTTCTCACAAACATGTGCGAATTATCTAAAACTGCTGTGCGCGTACTGTGAAAGAGCTCCCTGTCCTGCCCCCTGTCCTATAGAGCTCCATCCCTTAAAACTCTGCCCTGCCCCTTAGTGGTCTTTCCTCATCCCCCATCCTCCCCTACCGGTCTCTTTTCACCCCCCCCCCCGTATTCTCCCATCTCGCTTCTCCTCACCCAGCTTCCTGTGTTCTCCTCATCTCCCCTTCTCCTCACCTCCCCCCTCCCTGTGTTCTCCCTCATCTCCTCACCCCCCTCTCCTGTGTTCTTCTTACTCCTCCCCCCATGTTCTTCTTACTGCTTCCACCCACCCTCCCTATGTTCTTCTTACTGCCCCATGTTCTTCTTACTCCTCCCCTCCCTATGTTCTTCTTACTACTCCCCCTTCCCTCCCTATGTTCTTCTTACTCCCTTCCCACCCTCCCTGTGTCCTTCTTACTCCCCTCCCCATGTCCTTCTTACTCCCCCCTCCCCCTCCCTGTGTCCTTCTTACTCCCCTCCACCTTCTGTGTCCTTCACCCCCCCTCCCTCCCTGTGTCCTTTCTTACTCCCCTCCCCTCATGTTTTACCCCCCCACCCACCCTATGTTTTTACTCCCCTATGTTCTTTTACTCCCCCCTCCCTATATTCTTTTTACCCCCCACCCCCTCCCTATGTTCTTCTCACCTGGTACCGCGCGGTAACAGGAGATTCAGTTTCCTGTTCCTGGCTGGACTGAAAGGAAGTGAGCACTCAGTGTGCACTTCCTGTCAGTCCGGCTGGGAACAGGAAACTGAATCTCCTGTACCGAATGGTACCTGGCCGGACTGACAGGAGGAAGAGGAGCTCGGCCACACTACAGGGACGAGAGAGGCAGTGCTGCAGCCACCTGAGGCTCTTTAAAGAGCGCTCAGGTGGCTGTAAGCCTTATAGGAAGTGCCGGCCCTGCCTGGGGCCCCAGGCTTGGTTTGCTTGCCTGGTCGCAACGGGCCGGGATAACAAGTACATGTATCTCTGAATATCAGCTACATTATTTCTTAAAAGCAATGCAAGTCACCCCTCAACTCACCCCTCTCCCCTCCCCCCTTTTAACCCAGCATGTGAAACATTGTCGTTCTGAAGATCAGCAATGTTTTCATTGCAGGATTTAAAGGACCACTATAGTGCCAGGAAAACGTACTCATTTTCCTGGCACTATAGTGCCCTGAGGGTGCCCCCACCCTCAGGGACCCCCTCCCGCCCGGCTCTGGAAGGGGGAAAGGGGTTTAAACTTACCTTTTTCCAGCGCTGGACTGAGAGCTCTCCTCCTCCGATCCTCCTTCTCTCTTCCCCGTCGGCTAAATGCGCACGCGCGGCAAGAGCTGCGCGCGCATTCAGCCGGTCACATAGGAAAGCATTATCAATGCTTTCCTATGGACGCTGGCGTGCTCGCACGCAAGCGCCTCTAGCGGCTGTCAGTAATACAGCCACTAGAGGAAATAGGGGAAGGCTTAACCCATTCATAAACATAGCAGTTTCTCTGAAACTGCTATGTTTATGAAAAAATGGGTTAACCCTAGCTGGACCAGGCACTCAGACCACCTCATTAAGCTGAAGTGGTCTGGGTGCCTAGAGTGGTCCTTTAAATGTAGAATTAGGATGGGATGCAAGTACTGTATCAGATTCTGAACAACCACATACCACCAGCAAAACACTGACACACATACAGATGCACACATATAGATACAAACACACACACCTACAGACACACAGAGAAACACACAGGCACAGACAGACTGATACAAACACAGACACATGCTTACATTCAGACACACAAACACTGCTCAGTACTATATACATTAAAAATAATATTGGGTGTTTTTCACATTTTAAAGTTGTGGGGGGGGAGGGGTTGGGTTGGGTGCCAGATAGAGGCATGTGCCAAATGCTCCAGCTACGCCCCTGGTTGAGAGTAGAGACATTAATGAACCAGGACAATCAGAAACCTCACCCAACTATCCCTGTACCTGTGGAATGTTTACACCAGCCCACTCTTAAACATTTTTGGGGATTTTATTCCAGGGATAAGTCAAAAGCAGGCTAACATAATTAACCATCTGATTGCCCAGCTGAAGCAGTAGGAAGAGCTTTCTTTATGATAGAAGAGAGCCTATTTATGCAACTGATACAGACCCTTGCTCTGCTATATGTTCCTTCACAATCCATTATCAGCAGTAACATAGTCCTATCATGCACTATTGCTGCTTAAAGGGACACTGTAGGCACCCAGACCACTTCAGCTAATTGAAGTGGTCTGAGTGCTAGACGTGCATTTGTTTTCGGACGAATACTATTTCGTCCGAAATTTTACTTTTTCGTATTTGTTTACTAAAACATAAACGAAAGTCCTACATACAAAATATAAACGAACGGGCAAATGCCAAATGCATTACCTATTTGTTTCAGTTCTTTTGTTTAATAGACTCCAATCTGCAGGAGAATTAACCCCCACAAGTGACTTAACCTGTCCTTGATGAAAATAACACTGCGCATGCGCAAAACAAACCGCAAGGAGGGAGCCGGCCGCACTGCCAGCTCCCTCCTTGTAATAATAATTAACAATTCCTACCCCCCCACATTAAATCCTATGGGGGTCACTATGACCCCCATATTAATAAAAGGGAGGTTAAAACCTCCCGCATGCCGCGAGTAGTGGCTGCTCGCTGTCATTTAAAACTACTAGTGAGTAGTGACTATTGCTGCCCAGTCGCTAGTGCATTGTGGAGAACCTAAATAATTAAAATGGGGGGACATAGTGCCTCCTCACGTCCCCATCTGTGACCCGTGGATGGGAGATTAATATAAATAGGGGGGATCT